AATGAAAACTGAATTAAAGACATACTTTGAGGTCACAAATCAAGTTTTATGGTTATGAAATTTCATCTCAGGACTTAGTGTGATCGACTCAATTGTCAAGCTGTTGAAGATATTTTGTGATAACACCGTAGTAGTTTTCTTCTCTAAGAATGACAAGTACTCTAGTGGTTCTAAGCATATTAAGATAAAGTTCTTGGTGGTTAGAGAAAGAGTCTAGAAACAACAAGTGTCAATTGAGAACCTGAGTACCACCAAGATGATTGCTGGTCCATTTACTAAAGTCTTACAGTCTAAAATATTTAAAGAACATATTTTTAGAATGAGGCTTGTGAGCAAGCCATAAAAAATATGGTGATGTATGTTTAGGTGGATACTATTATTGATATTTTTTCTTAACTAAATTTATTTATTTCTGCTATTATGTTTATATTTATGTTTATACATATTTTGATTGAATGTAATAACAGGATTATCTTTACAAAATAAATTATATGGGTCATTATGGATTATATTAGGAAAGACTGACAATATTATGAAACCTAGAAAGGAGTATGACATTGATAATATACAACTACTATGACTCACATTAATAATTTGATGTAATATAGTATTATTATACTTATTGGACTTATTGGCTTGTTTTTAAACATTTATGGTCATATATATAATTGTTTTTTTAAATTTTCATAATCCAATTAGGTAAAATTATTTTCAAACAAATTTTGTTTTGTTTATTTTGATTTTGATTTTTTTTTTATCTTACCAATTAATGGGCTAAGTAGGAGAATGTTAGATTATGTGGCCCTATTTAATTGGTAATATATATTTTAGACTGATTGGATTCTGATAAAAGTTATAACTAATAGAAAGAAAGTCCATATTAAGATAGGATTTCTTAGGAGATGCTATTAGAGAAATTCTTTTAATTACTTATTCTGGACCTTCTGCTCTCGCTTATATATAGATAGGACCTCCTAGAGACTAAATATGATACTACGCATGGTTACACAGTGTGTTGATGTGATGAATGTAGACACAAACATGGGACATGAATACGTGATAATCATTGAGAGATTACAGTTCCTCTCTAATCCTTCATGTCCCTAATCTATATCAATCTAAGTAGTACTATAAAAAGATAGGAGGAGAGGAGAAAGAGAGTCTAGTTCTCCTAACAGATCGATAGTAGTTTTTAGATCTGAAGATGGTGTTCTTGCAGATTTGATAAAGTTCTTTCTAGATAACATCGAAAGATACACATCTTAAATTTAATCTATTATTATTTGATTTCAATCTTGATATAAATTTTTTTTATATTATATGTAACATATTATAGATTTATATTTACAAGAATAAGTCAATGAAGAAGAGGACTTCAGTTGCTAGTTGAAAGGTAAGAAGGTGGTCGGCTATTGATGAAACAAGAATAGTAATACCTCCTTCTCTTCCTTACCTTTTCTCTTAGTTCGAACTGAAGTTCTAGGTCAACTGACTTCAGAAAATTGCTGCTGGAACTCAATCAACAGTTGTTGCTTGAAGAGTACTCTCTTTGATGTCAAATTTTATTTCAGCACGGGCCACCAAAGGCTGATGGACGAAGGATTGTTGGAATGCCGACTTCTTCCTCTCTTTTCCCTCTTCTCTTCTTGTTTGTAGCTATGACTTTTCCTAGGACTGACTAAACCCTAAGGAGGCTAGCTTCTTGATGATGATGATTTAAAGTCTTCGGATGTCTTTTAGGAGGGTACAACTTGGATGCCTTGAAGAAGATTATGCATCACTTGTTTTTTAAATGAAGGGATGGAGTCCTAACCAAGTTAGGACATTTGAATCAACTCTAGTTGAGCCAAATTAGAGTCTGACTCGAACTCAACTAGATTGGTTAAATACTATAAAATATTTATTAGAAACTTCTTAAGGATAGTTATTTATCTGACCAGATTAACATGAAAGAATATTAAATTTGAATGACGAGCAAAGTTTTTCGGAAAAGATGATGAGTGCTCATATTTTAGTATATGCTTATATGATGAGGACTTATTCCTTCAGGTAGAAATAGCTTCTGTTTATAGCAGGGACAGATAGCTTCATAGTTTGTAGTAATGCTTCAATGTAGGAATTTGGGTGTGTGCTAATGCAGATAGAGAAGTTCATGGCTTATGTATCTGGAGAACACAAAAATCATGAAAAATATGATCCCACACATGATATTGAATTAGCTACAATTTATTTTGTTCTAAAAATTGAAAGATATTATCTTTATGAGTAGACATATGAAGTATATATTTATCATAAAAGCCTCAAATATATATAAAAATAGATGAAATTAGACATGAGACAGAGGAGATGGATGATTTTTCTTAAAGACTATGTCCTTAGTACTAACTATAATCTTGGAAAAGCAAATTTAGTGGTTGATGTTTTAAGTAAAAAATTAGCTAGTTTGTAGCTCATCTTTGTGTCCAAAGGACTTCCTTATTATCAAGTCTATTGGACATAGGAGTATAAATAAATATTGGATTAGGCATAAAAAAAATTTCTGGCTACTATTATGGCACAATCATCTTTTGTGGAGAGAAACAAAGAAGATGATCCATTCCTACAAACAATAGCCAAGGAAATTATCCAAAAAGAAAGACCAAAGTTTCAACAAATGGATAATGACTCTATTAAATTGAAGAATTGACTATATGTTCTAAAGAGCTATATGATAAAATTATAAAATATGATGAGTCACACAAGTAATAGATTTATTTTGCATCATAGAAGTACCAAGATATAAAGAGATTTATGTTAGAACTATTAGTGGTATGGGTTATAACTAAGTATATTTCTAAATGTTTAATTTGCCAATAAGTTAATATAGAGCACCAAGTGCAAGTTAAAAATTATAGGGAATGTCTATTCTAGAGTAGAAATGGGAGCATATAATAATGGACTTTTTGCCCAGATTGCTCAAAATACTAAACAGATATAATAAAATATGATGATGATGAACTGTCTCATGAAATCAACCCTTATTCTTTTGATTATTAAAACCTACTCATTAGATATTTTAGTCAAATTATATGATAGAAAGATTGTGCTATGTTATGAAGTGTCTATCAAGATCATATTAAATTAAGATCCAAGGTTCATATTAAGGTTTTAGAATAGTAAAACTTAGGATACACAACTCAAGTTTGGTATGACCTACAATAGACAATACGAAGGAATTTGTCATATTAAAGGATCTCTTAAGGGGTTATGAGGGACATTTGCATTTAGTAAATTTATTTATAATAATAATTTTTATTCTGGTATCTAGATGGCACCAATTGAAGCCTTGTATGGAAGGAAATGTAGATCATCCATGTTCTGGGATGATGTTGGGGAAAAATTCTTCTAAGACCATAAACCCTGACTCACACACCCTTTCCTTGCACAAATTGGCTTGGGTTTTGGGAGCTTGGAGGAGAAAGGGCAGCTAGGTCTAGATATAAGTTATCCGTATTTAATAATTATTAATTTTGTATTTAATTATTTTTTCTTTTAGATGATATCATATTAGTTGTTTCAAAAATTTTGATACAATTTTACAATTTTATGAAGGCATCATATAAGATATTCATGAAATTATGGTATGGAATCATGATTTAATAATGTTGTAATTTTCTACTAATTTTGGATTTATAAAAACAAGAAAATAAATTTAAGATGGAATCCAAAATAATCAATCTTATTAAATTTGGTTTGTTTTCAGAGTTAGATGGTGTCCGTAAATTATCCAGTATGAGATGCAATCTTGATTTAATAATTTAAAATTCATACATCTAATTTTTGGATTATAGTATTTCAAGTAATTATTATTCTATGACAAAAAAGAAGAAAAGAAAAGCAGCATGTCCGAATTGGACCGACCCAGCTTGGGTCGGATATGGATTTGGGCAAGCCCAGCTCAGATCGGGCCTATGGAGGCTCAATCTTCTGGGACTCGAATCGGGTGGTGAAGAGTCTCTTTTAAGTATAGGAAAAGGATTATAGACAATTCCTTAGAATTAGTCATGTACTCAAACAAAAGGGTCGAGATAAATCCAACCTCTTGAGAAAGATGCCAATTGAGTTTAGATACCTAAACTTCCTAAACCATCTCAATCAGGAGCAGATAACTCCATCCACCCCCGAGTGAAAACTGTTGAGATTTGATTCATAGTTATCTATCTAGATTGTCATCATGATCTAGTAGTTACATGATGATTTCAATAACCACTTTAATCATGATCTAGTAGTTATAAGGTGATTTCAATAACTACCTCATGATCTAGTAGTTATAGGGTGGTTGTCACTAGGTCCTATAAATAGGACCGTAGTTCATCTAACATAGAGATAAAGCAGAGAAAAATAGAGAGTCTGTGTGCATTTGGTATTTGTAAGTATTCTTATCAATTCTCCTGTTTTTAATACTACATCAGTTTTCTTGAGTCAAAAGGATTTTTTTTACTCGTATCGTAGTATTCTATTTTTTCCTTGCTCCTCCATCCCCAACAAGAGCTCCGTATGGGCAGGTTTTGATACCCTCTCTCGCAGAGAACTTCATCCACTCCAGAGTCAACGTGAGGGCTCTGTATGGGCTGGTTTTTACCCCCTTCTTGAAGGCATTACCAACAAGAACAAGTTGCCTGTTATTTAAATCAGCAGATAACTCCACAGCCCACTCTTCTCCATTGCCCACTGATTATTGCCTCCTCCATTTCCTTCGTCAACAATTGCCGGCCGACCTATGGATATATATATATAAGACATACCGAAACAAACTCATGTCACAGCTCATCAATGTATTTTGACCCCAAGGAAAGCCGGTGAAACAAGCAAAACGATGGTCAAACAGGCGCCAGTGCACCAAAGCAAGCACAAAGTTACCAGAACTTGGAGCAAAGCAAGACGAAAAAGATAATGGTCAAACGCAAAACAGAAATCCCCAAGTGGTGCAAAACAAATCCCGGTCTTGCACGAAAGGCTCCTTTCGTTTCAAAGCAACAGAACTTTCTCCCCCTTGTTTCAGGGAATGAAAGGGCACATAAAGTTGGACCAGCTGATAACGCCCATGGCCTAGATTGTCACACCCATCAACCTCAACGTTTTGTTCATTCATACATTCTCTTTGCATGACGTAAAGTTTGTTCGCCGTGCAGTGAGAGAAGGGATGGTCGACAAAACCTGCTGTCGAAGCAGCGACTGTAGCTTGGCATGCCTTTTTGTTCTCCATCATGTGCTTGCCAACATCGTTGGTGGTCTTCTCAAGGGCACGCCCGAGGGCATGTTGCCGTCTGCCATGCATTGTCAGGATCAAAGAGATTGTTTCAAGTGCCAAAATTTTTACAAAGTAAAGGACTGAACTAAACCTAGGCGGCGAGCAACCCAAGGAAAGGAAATTAGCATCAAGCAGCTCGAAATCTTCATCACTTCAGAATCCTTGGGCTCTCTCAATCATAGCTTCTATGATTTCTTCAACTTCCATTTATATGCCTAAGGGTATTGGTGTTGAAGCTGCTGCTCTGATGCCTCTTAATTCACAAAAGTAATCATGAACCATATTATCTACGTAATCTTGGATTAGGGTTTGCATGGGAAAGACCACCTGAGGTGCAAAAAAAAGGCATATCAAAGGTAAGAGCAAATGATGGAGGGATGATGATGGATGCTGAACATGGTTGCTTTATGGACATGGAAAGGGTGTTAGAAAAGTTGAAAAGGTGAGCACTGATCTTTGATTCAAAGATCTGAGTTGAGGCCTAAACCCCAAGCTAATGATGAAGGCAATGATATGTTTTGTGGGCATTTAGGCACTTAATCTGCCTCGCCTTTTTTTGGATTAGGGTTCTCGGTGGAGAAAAGGTTTTGCATGGGAAAAGCCTGAATGGAAAGTCGATCCAAAGGGGACAGTGTATCTGTCCATGGGATCATGCTCGTTGCCTAGGGTTTCCAGGGCCCTGACCTGTGACTTGAGGAACTTGAGATAGTTTGCAGCCTCATCAAGCATGGTGGCAGTGTCCATTTTGCTCCCTCCGGGGACCAGCTTCTGCAGCATCCTCAATCTCTCACTTATCCTCTCCCGTCGATGCCTTGCTGCCACGGTCTGGGGATCACTTGATATTCTGACGTTCTTTCTCTTTGGCTTCTCCGATGCTTCTTCCAACCCCAGATGGACTGGCCTCAAAGCTGCAGCCCTATAAATCATCTCCTTCACCTGTGCTATGGCCTCGGTGTCGAGCTCGTAGTAGCTTTGCTGACTGAAGTTGATGCTAGAAGGCCCTGAATTCTTTTCTGATCTCAGTTTCTTCTGCCTGGGAGCGTTCCTGAAGCTAATCTCAAAACCTCCTTTCTTACAACAGTTTTCTCCTTCTTTCTCATAATCTTCTAGTTTTCTTTTAGCAATATATTTTTCTCTTGATGATTCAACTCCTGGAACATCTGGAATGAAAGAGTTCTGCCTGTCCAAATTAGGTATATGGTAATCGAACAAGCCATGGGTCTCGAACTCTGCTGAAGAGATGGTAGCACTACAACTCAATCTACAAGTGCTTTTGGTGCTAGAGAAGTTATCGAAGTGGTCTTCGTCGTTGTTATCAATGTTTACTTGTAATTGATCAAATGAGCCAAAATTTTCACTGGGGCAGCAGAATGGATCGATCATATTCTTGGGTCCGCCACTGCCTGGAACAACGGAAGCATGTAGTTGTGGAGAAAGAGCGTGTTCAGTTATAGCAGGTAAGCCTGAAATCTTGCGAGCAGAATCAGCAGTCAGCATTATAAGTTCTTGCCGTTGCAAGGAACTCGGATCGGAGGTGGAAGCTAATGTGTTGATCGTCTCGTTGACAGCATCAAAGTTTGAGCTTGGATGGCATGCCAGAATTCCTTGGAGATCAAAGCTGGAGCTAATTAGAAGAGCTTCCTCCAACTTGAGCTTCTCACATGCGTTTCTGTAGTCTTCGTTGGACACCAAAAAGTTCTCATACTGATCACTCCATAAAGTTGGTGAGATAGAAACCTGATTTCTGAGAGTGGTCGAGTTACCGAAACCTAAACCATCCATTTCGATGATTATTCTTCAAAACCTGCGGACACATCCAAAGGCATTAAAGCTTGAAGACCCTAGTTAACCAATAATGGAGTAAAGAACTCATCTATACCTTTCAGGAGTGCTGCTTTTAGTTGAAGGGCTTCACACTTTCTATTTGACCGAGTGTAAATGATGCTGCAGCTTGATCTTGTTCATCAGACAATAAGATGGGATTCACCAAAGACACTCTTTGCAGCAGAAAGCTTGGCAATCTTCTAAGAGACGATGCAGTAACGGAACGACAAGCTCACTCGGTCGAGAAAGCCGAAGAGGAAGGTTGCAGTGAGATGTGTCCTCTAGCTCCAGGAATAGGAATGGAGATGGTGTCAGAAAGTGAGCTTATATAGAGCAACAAAGAGATTGTCATTTATTTCTAGGTCCACTGTGGCAGCTGCCTTCTTTGAAGTGTTGGGGAAGGATTTCGATCAAATGGGCAGCACATGAGACTTCCGAAGAGAGGATTGAATTATTTAAGCCGTGAAAAGACCTGCAGCTCTTTCAGTGTCTTCTGTGTCTTCCATGTTTCCCGCAAATTCTTACAGCTATAGGCTGCAAGCGAGAAGCAAACATTGCAATATATTACCTTGTGAATGTTGGTTGTGGACCTCAAATATTTCGATTTGAGTACTCATTCAGTCATATATTTCGACTTGACTTTTTGATACGTGAGGTTCTAATACTTATGTAAGTCAGTAAAAATCTAATGTTAAAAAGGAAAATTCCTATTTGCAGTGTCTATTTCATCTCAATCTGGCATGTTGGATGGGGAAGGATGAAGAATATTTACTGGCTATTTCATCTCACATATACACATACATTCTTCACCTACAGAATGTTTTAGCCATGGCAGCTACTTGGATAAATGGGACGAGTACTAAATAGAAACAAAACTTTGGGAGCATTAAATTAGCCTGAGGATGAAGACGGCCACTTTGCCGCATGACCTGCTATATTCTAGTGGCTCAAGAAGCATACCAAGGAAACCTAACTAGGCTGGAGGTCTGGATATGAGTAACAATTTGTGTTTCGTGTTGGGACTTGAAGTAGTAATAAAGAAGCAGTCCATGAGCTACTTACATGAGGTTTAACTACTCGTGGGGACAAAAGTCAGGTAGGCACTACAACTTAGATAATTCTTTTTAAGTGTGCATGGCAGCAGTTCATGGGGATTCTGAGACTTCACATGCGTGCCATGATGCAATACAATGAGACAAATTGCCAACAATAACAATTAATAATTGATCTGCACACAGGGAAGTCACTTTAATTACTGCTTCTCACCAAATTATTTCTATATAATCTTTTATGTTAATTAATTAAATAAGAGTTGGCTCATCTGATTATTGTAAGTTTAGTTTTGTGTAAATTATTTGAATCACATAACAAGAGACAGCATCAAGAGAAATTTAATTCTCATAAAATAATCTAATTCTCATCGATCTTTGTGGGCCAAAATGGATCAAGTGGCCCATTTAAAAGACAGCCTATTAATAAAAGACTTTTCTTCTCAATATACAACATACGAGAAAATGTAATATAATAAAATAAAGTCATGGATTTGAGATGTTAAATTGGATTTCGTATATATTAAATTGGACTCTAATATGATTTTTAAAGTACAAAAATCAATTGTTATTATTACACATATCACTAATGACACACAATAATGGCTTTACATTGATGAAAAATTAAACTAAACTAAATAGTGGATGAAGATCCTTGCAATGCATAGTATCATAAAACAATAGAAGATTGAGAGAAAGCAAAACATTCACATCAAAGAATTGTTGTAATCAATCAATCGAAATGTACAGGAAGAGTTAAAAATGAAAATTGCTATCAACATTGAACACTCATATCACTATTCCGTTGGAATGATCCAATTAAATTTATTATAATAAAAAAGAAATTTAACTTATGGAATGATTTTATCTCTTTGACAACATGAAATCCCTTCTCGAAACACTAAGCATCACAAAATCAAGGAAGAAATTAATAATATTGGTGATAGAAAATATTCTAACATTTATCATAACCAATCAGCTGACCACCACTGAGGAGTTGACGTGAAGAACGAAGGCTAAGTCATCCTTATTGAATCTTAGATTTTGATGATGAAATTAATTGATATGTTTGTAATCTAATCTGCGTTTTGAGTGACGTAGGAAGCTTCGATCAGGGAGAGATAATTAAAACAGGAAGAATTATGTTGGGCTGGAGTGTCGACGTATCGAGAAAAGCCTTCGGGCCATGGGTTCAGGTATCGGGCCAAGAAGAGCAGAAAATTACGCCAAGAAAATTAGAGTTGCGGAGGTCAACTAGTCGATTGGGTAATAGGCCGCAAGAGAGGACGATGCGCTGAAGATTCGGACGAAGCGCCGATGAACCAATGACATGCCAGACAACATTTGATTTAGCTTTGTAATAATTGTCTAGATCGAAGTAGGTTTTAGGTGTAATTGAGTTAGAATTGGGCCAACTTAATTATGAGCCAATTGGACCTAATTTTGGACTGTGTTGGGCCAAGTGAAAGACCAAAATAGTGACCCAACTGGTGGAACCATTAGTGGCATAGTCTCCGAGATTATGCCAAGCGATGGCATCGCTAGTCTAGGCGGTGGTACCACCCAGACATAGTCTCCTAGAGTGTCAGGCAGTGGTACCACTAGTCTAGGTGGTGGTACTGCCTAGACACAGTCTCCCAAGCGATGGTACCGACTAGTGTTAGTGCTGTAGGTGGTGGTACCACCCAACACAAGTGGTGGTACCACTAGGACCTGGGAAACCCAAGATAAGACCTTTTTTTTGCTCTATTTTTGAAGTCAATTGGGGTCTATAAATACCCCAGCTATTCCTGCATGGAATAGCAAGAAAGTTGAGTAAAACTCTGTAAACCCTAAAATTGTAAACCCAATTAGAAAGTTGAATTCCCTCCTCCTAAAGGTTAGAGAGAGTTCTAAGAGAGGTGTGTGAAGGAAACCTTGTAAAATAGGGGTGTAAAAGTTGTTTTCTAAACCTATGAAAAGGAGAAAGTGTAAAAGGGTAGTTGATCTTCACCCGTTGAAAGAAGATCGGTAATGAAAGTCGGTGGTCTTGAGTGAAGAGGAATCGAGAGTGGATGTAGGTCACGATGACCGAACTACGATAAAAATATGATTTATATTTCTATTTTGCTTTTTTACTTTCATTGTAAACTGCTTTACTTTCACTGTGCTTCCATGCGATTTCAAGTTAAACATATTTCCTATAAGGGCTTTGTCAAAACGATTTTATCGTATGAAGATTTTTGACTAAACATAATTTTATCACTACACTAATTCACCCCCCTTCTTAGTGTCGTTCTTGATACTAACAGTTGATATCAGAGCCACGTTCTTTCTCGTTTAATTTAATACCTAAGAGAAAAGACTCTTTTCAGATTTTAAGAGGATCACTTTATTATTCGTCCTTATATGTTCAATGGAACGAACTATATTAGAAAACTCAAATGAGAGTTTTCTTGCTTTCTTTAGATTTGAATTTATGGAATATTATCGAAAGTGGTTTTCAAAAGTCTTCTACTCTAATGAACAAATGGAATGATTTAAAGAAGAAAACTTTTCTTTAAATGCTAGAGCTA